CAAACGATTTTCGATATTATGTTGTAATTCAAAAATTAACTATGAATAGATACTTCAAATTTTCACAAAACGATTATGATAAAATATTATAATTGCCTGTAGGTACATGATAAAATGTTCAAAATATTTCTACCCTTTTTGATCTATTTAGAGACATTTGAAATTTTGAAAAAAAAAATCAATCAATTTTCGCCGGGTCTAAAAGCTTGAACAATTAATACAAGGTTTCCTCATGAGTTGTTATAATAGCAATTTTTAAGTAATGAAGATGCATTTTTTTTGGAAATATAATTGTCATTAAGTACACTGTACAGTAAATAATTATGTATGTATATAAATATATTATATATACTACTCTTTGAGAAAAGATTATCTGAATTATTTGTATTTACATATTATAAATAATATTTACAATATTTACAAATTGCCAAGAAAATTTAAAAAAAACTCTGGATTTCAAACTATTAAAATCATCAGAGATATTTTAAATGGTAAAAATCAACAAGGATCTCTGGACATTGAATTCACTCCTTCTGATATAGTGAACATAAATTGAACATGTTGTTTCTCATTGCTTTATTCCGGAAAAATACTAGTTTTATATACCTACATCGTTTGTATTACTTTTATTTATAAAAAAATTTTTTTTTTGTAACTTTCAATACTTACTAATACATTTTTTCGATATAAGGTGAAGTGGGGTAAGTGCCTAACTGGGGTAAGTGCGTTTTCCAGTATTATGGTGGGAAAAATAAATTCTATCACTCATATCAATAATGAAAATTAATCTACAATATAGTGGGAGCTTAAATATCTAATTTGCAACACTGTACGTTTATTCGTTTGCGTGCTATCAGAGTTGATATCAACAATTGTAATATCACTCGCGTTTTGAAAAGTAGACTTGTTATCAATTATTTTTTTTGGCAATTCAAATTTATTTGGGAAGCTTCTAAATAAGCTAAGTTGTGTAATTTTATGTGTAGCTTAGGTTTTTAGTGATATTTACGTGTTTGATTATACAATTATATTCGCTAATTCGGATTATGCTCTTCCCCCGTGTAAAATGACCAACGGGGTAAATGCGACATTCATTTATGTGTAAGTGCGACATGACATGCCGCAGTTGCCCCTTTTAAAAATTAATATTAATTATTTTATTTACTTGAGCTAAACATTGTTTTTTTCTAATACAATGTCAGTTATGTATCATATTAATACTTAATCTATTAATTATGATTTATACTAATATTTTGATGTATTTTAACTGATATAAAAAAAAGGATGAGAAAATATTTTAAGGATGAGAATTTATATTTGGAATTACATTTAGTCAATATAATCTAAAAAAGTAATCTAAAGTCTGATAAAATATATGAAAATAATTTAGTAGTTACTTAAAGCATTTGATTTAAATAATTATTACTAAAATTTTTCATATTTTATTATTATTTATTTCTAAGTACTTATGACATTTGTTAACATTTTGTTTTTTATATAGGTATATACAAACATAAATTGTTTAATAAAGTATTTGAAAATATTTGCATTGTTGTTTTATCAAAATACTATATAAATCTTAAAATTTCTTATATGAGAGTGAAGTGAAATGTAAGTAAGGAGATGCTCATAGTTTGTAGGATATGATAAAAATGTGACAATATATTTGTAATTATAACAATAGCTGTCATTTCTAAAATATTTGAACAAATACAGCTTTGTAAAAGTAGTATTATAGCTAAAAATTTTTAGTTTAAGGCACTTACCCCACGTTTAAATAACAGTGGTATTAGTATTTTTAAATAGTCCGTTTTGCACTTACCCCTTGTCAAGGGGCAAGTGCGACTTTTTTTTTTTTTTTTTTTTTTCAATCGTAAAAATGTTTTTAAGATATTTCACATAATGTTGACAGTGTACTTAGATAGACCACTTCCATATCAGTACATTGCAATAATCATCATATTTTTAAGTTAATTATTTCAGGAGAAATTGAAAGATCAAGTTGAACTATTCAAAATTCCGTCGCAGTTACCCCACTTCACCTTACATATTTTTAATTTTTTTTACATATTTAGATAAAAATATTTACATAGTTAATATAAATTTATCTTCTTTATTGACTTGAATTCGGACAACTTTCCCTTTTTCAGTTAGTTCTAGCGTTATTGTTGAATGAAATCGCCGCCCGGATATTAGGTCTAAAGAATGGCACCGGAAGCGCTATTTTACGTGCCCGTTATATCAGATTAATCGCCTATCTATACTATTCTTCAATATATGATACTGTTGCACACATGACAAATTATACAGGTATGTCAGCAACTCATTGATACGCATGTCTGTGACATAAGCATTTCCCCAATTGGTTAAGCGGTGGAGTCTTCGACAGCGGCTATTGCGGAAGTGACGGTGGTAGACCAATGAGAACCGGAGAAATGTTTACGTCACAGATGCACCGTTTTCGAGATATAAGCGAAAAACCCAAAAAGCGCAACTTTAACCCCCTCCCCCTCCGGCTCACCACCTAGGTGTCAGGACTTTTAGTATGTTAATACCCTAAGGGCCGGTTTCACCATGTACGAGTTAAAGTGCGAATTAGTTAATCCTGAGTTACCGTCTAACTTTGAGTTAGCATTGTTTCAGTTTCACCATAGGTTTTTGGGTAGGAGTTAGTTAATCCGAATTAACCTCGTTTCAACAGTATTTCCTCCAGGTTTTTGAAGATAACGTTGATAACAATTCCGCATTTTTGCATATTATCTATTATCTAATATCTACTGTTTTTTCGCGCCATCATAACTTTACTGCGGTATTTTGTTTTCACTTTTCTGTACTTTTTATGCTTCCGTTTACTGTTTGTGTTTCTACTTTCTTTTGAGTTTTGACTATGGATAAGCGTAAAAGAAAAGTTAACTTCAGTGCTGCGGAGGAAGAACTACTTGTGGAGTTGGTAAAAAAGTACCAAAACATTGTAGAAAATAAAAAAACAGATATGGTGATGTGGAAGGAAAAAGAGGAATGTTGGAGGAAGATTTCAGAAGAGTTTAACAGTCAAGGAGTGTTGGTGGCACGAAATTGTGCACAGCTGCAGTTAAAATACAAAAATTTAAAAAAAGTTGTTAGGAAAAAAAGTGCATCAATAAGGTAAGTGTGATCATAATTTCATTTGTGACGATTCCAATGTCTTATTCATATTATTCATATTTTCTTTCCTTATATTTAAGATTTGAACATCTAAAAACAGGTGGTGGTAAATACCTTTCCCAAGCCCTTAATCTTAGGGAAGAGAAGTTGAAAAGCATAATTCAATTATCTGTAGATGGTCTCCAATCCGAATTCGACGATGATACTGAAGCCTTCAGTACTGATAATTTAGTTAACGGTTAGCTCAAAGTATTTTATTTTACAAAATAGTTGCTGGACAGCTTATCAAAATGTTGTATATTTTCTTATACTTTTTGTCTTATGTTCCTACTGACAATACCTATCACCATTCAGACAATGAATTAATGGACAATGATGGGTACTATGAAGACAAGGACAACGAAACATACTATGTGACTGGTAAGACCATATTACATTTAATTAGTCTTTTAAAAAATACTTTTAGATTCTGACAGTGTTATGTTTTAAAGATTTTCAGCTTAATAGTTTTAATTAAAAACATCTTATTTGCTGCAGGATAAATTATTGATGCATAGGAATACATGTATTAACATTTTTGCAAATTATAATTTAAATAACTTAACTTAACAGTGATGCCTGATTTAACTGAGGACTCCATACCATCAACTTCAACCAATAAAGAAAGTAAGTTTCCAAATTTTGCATATTGTGTGTAGGTATTGCCTGATACCGTTTCAAGCTTTTTTCTCATATTATATTTTGATTATTACCTACCAACCTCATTCATGATATTAATATCAAATTGTATATTTAATTAAAATAACAAAACAAACATTGTATTTAAAACAATATTTTATTAATACAAATAATACATAAATAGTTTATTTGATTTTCAGTCAAAAATATTTAATTTTTAAATATTTACAATATCTATTATTATCATAATCTTATTTTTTATTACAATTTTAATTTAAATAACAAGTTAACTATTTATGATATCATGAATATGCTTTTGTTTTTCCAGAACCATTCAGGAAAGAAAACATAGATATAGATGTCCCCAGTAACTATAAAACTTCTAATGAGGCAGGAAGAAGCTGTACCGACTTTGGTACGTTAAAGTATCTATATCTATATCTATGCTAATAATAACTTTTTTTTTTTTAAATTTTATATTTTTACAATAATACAAATAAATATATTAGGTACAAAGAATCGTTTTAGTTATATATAATTTTCTCAGGTGCAAGTGTCAGCCAATGGGACGTGGTAACTCCTCAACATATAAAACATGTTAAAAGTACTCCCCTCAGAAAAAATAGTGAGTTTTGCATGTTTGAATTTATTTTATTCAGCATCTGTATAACATATAATTATTATATTTTAGAAAAACATTTCAAAAGCCGATCCGCCGAGGCAACAAACCTCTTGCAGCAAAAGGACAAATTAGTAAATTTACAAATAAAAGCGTTGGAGCAGGAAATTGGAATAAATGATGTTCGAAAAAGAAATGCTATCTTAAAAGAAGAAAAAATGAAATTAGAAATAGAACTTCTTAAAACTAAGTTAAATAGTACAAAACATTAAGTTATTTTTTTTTTGCTAGAACTTAGAAGTGTGTTGCTACATAAATTATATATATTTAAAAGGTAAAAGTTATTATTTTTTTTTTGTTATTTGTTGCTACATAAATTACCTTAAGCATTTTATTAATATTGTTATGACTTCTGTTTATATTATTATTTGTTTTTGTTACTGTTATTTTCAAATCATTATAAATAATTAAAATGAAGTTCCTAAACCTTAACTTTAATTTCTATTTACTTACCATATAACTGTTCAACCTCACTGTAAATTGGCAAAGTGGTCCCTGATCACCCGATCTCTTTCTTGCCTACCTCTTGTATTTCCTGGCAAATCGAAAAAGTTTTCTTCTCTGACATTTCCATCATAGTTGTCTTCACACAAATCATTTGGAACTTCATCATGCATATCAATACAGATATTATGCATAACAGCACACATGCCACAACAATTGCTTGGGTGTTATTTAAATTAACTGTAATTCCTTTGCTGAGCACTGGGAATCTTCTTTTTAAAACTCCAAAACATCTATAATATTGTAATAAATAACATCAATTTCTTACTCATGATAAAAAACATTGGTTAGATACATCAGGTACAAATGATAATCACAAAATACATTTAAATTTATCCCACCATATTCAACCCAGCAATATTTACCTTTCAATAACATTTCTAGTCCTGATGTGACTTTCATCGTACAACTGCTCGCTTTGTGTCCTAGGGGCCAGCAGAGGAGTCATAAGGTAGGGCTTCACTTCATACCCACCGTCACCTAAGAGATATCCTTTTATGAGTCCTGTTTCAAATTTATGTTTTATTAAAGAATTGTCGAAAATGGTTTGATCATGGCATGACCCTGGCCATCGAGCAACTATGTTTGTAATTTTGAGCCATGGATTACAAATTCATTGGACATTGATTGAAAAAAAACCTTTCCTATTTCTGAAGGTTTCCCCATTATCTCCACCTATAAAAGTTACATTGAATCATAATTGCATCAAAAGGAATATAGTTGGTGGCAGTAGTATTATATTTTATTTATACCTGGTGACTGAATTTTTATATGGGTACAGTCTATAGCTCCTATTACTCTGGGGAATCTACTTCGGTTGTAAAATCCAGTGAATACTCTTTTCGTATCAACATCATTCATTGGGAACGCCATGAATTTTGGTTTTTGCTTTGCTATGGCTCTACATGTTTGGTGAATGTAACGGCAGGCTGATGATTCACTAACCCCAACAAAGTCAGAAATAGCTAACAAAAAAGAACCTGTAGCAAGATACCTCAGCAACATGTACAGCTTACAAGGTGCCAATATTGCTCTGTTTCTGAAACAAAAATAGTAATACCGTAGGTAGAAGAAAAAAACCACAGCAATACAACTTTTACATACAATTGAAGGATTTACATAGGTACTGTTGGTTATTCGACAACAACATCAATATCTTTAAAAAATAAGATAAAAACTTTAAAATAATTAGTTATTTTTACATATTATATGGATCTCATTGGATGACTGATTAAGCTGGCCTTACAAGATAGTTGGTATACAAGTTAGGACCATCCTGTTATAGCAGTATCATAAATTTTCAGTTAATCGCCATCCATCCGACCCATAGTTAAAAAAAGTTACACATCTTGAGACTCCTGTGCACATCCACATTTTAGTGTAACGTTACAATAGATGTTGTCGTCTCCAACAGTATCACTGTTTTTCATGCAGCAACTGTTTTCAAATTGTATTAAAAGCTACTTACCTTTGAGAAGGAGGTGATATTTCATTTTCTATCAATCTCAAGACCATACTAAACGTAGCTTTTGAAATACGAAATCGATTTATGAAATCATGATCATCATACAATTCACAATAGTTGACTCTTTCATAAAATATCCGAGGTCGACGTTGCATAGCAATAATCTCTTCATCATCGTCATCGTCATCGAATAGTAATCGACGATACATTCTATTTTAGTTGAACTCTTATTTTAAAAATGCACTATGTAGAAATTATGAAAACGTTGAAGTAAAAAATCCGAAGAAATAAACAGCGAAAAACTTATAAAATTCGATATGTTATCTACATGATTACATTATTATTATCAGATAAACAATCCCTCCCACGCCAACGCGGCTGATATCGTGGTCGTAACTTGGAGTTAGGTCATTATTACCTAGAATTATTGAGGGTTAAAATCTGGGAGTAAAGATTTTCATTAACTTGAAGTTATCACTAAACTCTAGGTCGTGAAATTACATTTTTGCCCTAACTCCGAGTTATTGATAACTCGCTCTTTAACTCTCGGTGGTGAAACCGGCCCTAAGCCCCCCGAACAAGTTTCTGAAGGAATCGCTAAGTTACCTGCTCACGCACTCTACACCTCATTTTAGGTCATTCATTGACTGGACTATAAGGTCTTGACAGTTTTACATTAAATTTAGAGAGCCTCATGGCAAAAAATATTGAGAAGCACTTTATTAGTTATACTGTAGAATATCTAAATATATCAAAATGTCAATAACATATTATTCGTTCACTAAAACAGCTTAAAAATCTAATACGTGAGTTTTTTTATAGTTATTTAAAAATATTAACGATACCTAATTTAAAGACACGATTATTTTTTATAAATATTTGAATTTAAAATGTTGACAAAACCACAATTATTTTGTAGTTATAAGTGTATAAAATATTAAATTTGTATTGCTTTGGCTTAAAAATTGAAGACGGAAGATCTCTCATACAAGTAGTTCATACTTCTACCAAAAAATTACTGATCATTTTAAGAAAATTGGTATGCAAATACCTTGCTTACTAGTTGAAGACTTGATAAATATTTTTTAAAAAAGCAATAATAATACGAGAGAGAGGGCTTCATCCTGTAGCCCCCCTGCATACGCCACTGTAATGAAAATGATAGGTAAGTATTAAGTAAAAGTCTATGGTATCGAGTGTGGTATCAAACATTAAAGTTTTAATACCACAGAATAGATGATTAATACTAAGAATTATTATCATATAAATTATTTATAATGGCTTTTTGGTGAGCAAGTGGCATTTCACGTTGCTTAAATCTAGCAATACCTGACATATGTAACATTCTATTTATACGAAACTGTACTTGCACCAAGTATTAATATTTTCAAATACCCTTAACGAAAGTATGTAATGTTTGATTCAATAAAATGTGTTTGTCCTGGAGTATAGATTACTAAATTAAAATTACTTTGTCCAACAAGATATTGAGTAGATCTGCATGACTCCATAATTACTTTTATGGAATTATTTTATGCAGTTGTTGATGGATTATCGATTATTTCTACATGGCAAGTTGATGGATGTTCGTCATCAGAAGCTTATCAACTCTTGTGTGTGCTATTAGCTATTAAAGAACCTGCATTAATTTTAGTAACATACCTGCACGCAGAAGTATTTAGCACAAGTTTACATCTCTGTAAACTTATTCAATTTCAAATATTGATTTATTTGAAGCCATGCCGCTAGCAGATAATGTATTAAAAAATATCAGAAATAATTCGGATGCATAATTTAAAAAAAGGTGGTTAAGTAGTAGGTTTTGAGTATACTGTTGTAATGGATGTGTTATATTTAAATTCAACGATTAATCATTGTATACGAATAACGATTCTGAGCGGAGACATTATGTCAGCGTAGCATACGTCTTGCATAAATAATCGAATTTAATATTTAAAAAAATATTAATAAAAATCTAAAATATCTCAGGGCTATAGATAGTAACTCTATTTCAGGTAAACTTTCTCTTTTTAGTAGAAGTAGAAAAACTTGTTGAAAAACTTCCAATTAAGATTTCTAATGTTAGCTATGGAAAAAAAAACTTTTATGAATTTCTAATTGAAAAATAATTTAGGAAATTTAAAAAAAATATCATGGCTATAATAGCTCAAAAAGAGTTAAAATAGTTTAAAAATTGTACCATGTATGGAAAATATTGACAATATATTATAGTTATGAGCAAAAGGAAAAGGTAAATCAACCCACCTCCCCCCTTGTGGGTAATTCCTGGCTACGCCATTGCGTGAAACTGCATTGGTCCTTTTACTAAAGATGAATTTTGAATGAATTTCCGGGAGTAGGTATAATAAAGGTATAGGTATTCGATATTGTGTCTGTAAAAATGTTAGGGAGAATGGACGACAAGAGTCATCTTTGTATAGACTACATTGCTGGCAGATTATGTGCTTCAGTGACTTGCGAAAAAAACTAATTTAGAACTTTTGTTATTCATTTTTAAAGTATTTCAAGACCTTCAATGAGTTTCATATGAAAGTGGCATGCGCGGATCTGCTTTAGCGGATTGCATAGACCGGTCAGAGCTCTATTCCACGGATCACGTTATATATTGATTTAGTCAACGGTCAGACTAGACTCGAAATCGGCCGAATATTTTTCGGTCAACATCTGCTGAATTATCGGGGAAACTATTCGACCGATGCAAATGGTCAGACTACTACAGGATTTCGGTTGAGTTCACCAGAATTATGCAGTAGTCAACATTATAGGTACAGTTCAACACTCGACCACTATGGACGTCTCTGAAGAATTGTATTTATTAGATACCAATCCAGTTATCAAGTATTTGTTATTGACTAAAAAAAAAGAAAAACAATTTTGGGTTAATGATATTTTTGAAGAGAGGGAAAAATTTGGAGAATTTCACACACTTTTCCCCAAGCTTTTGGCTCAACCAATTAAATTTTTCAAGTATATGCGAATGTCTCCTAGTACTTTTTATTATATTTTAGAAAAAATTCAACCTTTTTTAGAAAAACAATCTAATTTTAGGAAATGCATTACATCTGCGGAAAAATTAACAGTTACTTTGAGGTAAGTGCTACAAATATAATAAATATTATAACCTTTAAATACATAAAATATGTTTTTTTTTTTTTTAAATGTTCACTGTATTAAAACATATTTATTAAGTACCTATTTTTGTATTTTAAAAAAATATATAAGAAATAAAAACCTGGCTATCACTCTTTTTGTAAAAATTAAAAATATTCCAGTTAATGGATTGAAAACCGCCGTTTTAAACATAAATAAAATATGCTCAAATGTTTATTATTTAAATAATAAAAAAGAAATTGTACACTTGAATAATGACGTGTATGAAAAAACTATGTAAAAAAATAACTGCAACCTGAATGTATTTTAATAATATATAATTTATTGTTGCATCCATTGTGCAGACAATGTGCTAAGATCAGTAGGTGTCTGTGAGCCCGTACTGTGTTGTCCACTAGAGACATACTGCATGTTGTAATGTTCATTGATGTTTGTTGGTGTGACCTGCAGACTTTGAACATAAGGATTGAAAGAATTTGAAGTGCATGTCGATGATCTTGTAGAGTTTTCATAAATATCAAAGCGTTCCTCTTCTTCCATAAGTACTTGTTGCAATTTAAGTCGAACAGATAATTTTATCTGTTTTGGTATATCTCTGAGATGTGGTAACAAACTCATTAAAAAATGAAAATCTTCATCATCCTTGTAATTGTCACTATTTTTTGTGTTCTCTTTGATGGTATCGAACCGTTTAAGTTTTTGTTTTTCAATTTCGATTAAATCTGCTATCGGATCATTTTTTATTTTTTTTCTCTTCATTGGTGTTTGTAAATTTGAATATACGGAAGACAGATCGGGATGCACAACTGATTCTTCGAGACGATCTTGATCTTGATGAATCTGTTCTTCTTCAGATACTATATTGTTGAACAAACTAATTTCAGGTGGTGATGATGGTCCTTCTTCATTTATTTCTTTTTGAATATTACAAATCTTTTTTCTGGGCATTATAGTGTCTTTTAAAAAGGTCATATTTTCGTAAAATTTCCATTGAGATGATAAAACGTCAGGTATCCCATCCCAAGTATTAAGTTTTTGTTTGTTGAACTCTTTTCGAAAAGTGTCTCTTAAATGTTGCCATTTAGCTTTTACAGTTTCACTTAAAATAATAATAATAGTGCCAAAAAAAAAAATAAAAAAATACTAAAAAATAATTTCTAAAAATATAATAAAAAAGACGAGCAAGTGGGTATCGCTCTGCTGTACAGTAGGTTACAAGTGGGTCACTGTAATGGATAGTGTTAAATTTGAATTTAATGATATAATATCATTGTAGGTAATAGAAAAACGATTCTGAGGGAAGACGGTCAGACAGCTTATGATATTAGTATATTACAAACTATATTTGATCAATTGATCATATTATTGTCAATAAAGTAATTTATATTATAACCTATTTACGTGGAACCTTGTTTTAAATTTTCAATCCTTAGCTATAAAATTTGAACATTTTATCAGTTTTTATCTACAAAATAATTATTAAATTTTAAATTTGATAAATTTTTTTAAAATAAACATATGATATGTTCTAGTAATCTAGTGTATAGAAAATGCTAATATAAACTTTCAGTCAACATTTCATGTATCTACGGCCATTTGTTTTAGAGTTACACCAAAAACTAAAATTGTTTTGTGTAAAAATACCCGTTTTTCCTTAATTTTGCCTTTGTTTTTCACAGCGCTCTTGAAAACTACCGTGAAATCTTTCCTTAGACCCCCATAAAGTACGAACTAGATTCACTTTCCTATCAGAAAAGATTCTGTTGAAGAAAATCTAAGCATTTTAACTGTCCTAAAAGGTGACGACAGACACAGAAAAAAATAAAAAAACTTATTATTGTTAAATCAATCGCTTCGCTCAACATCTAAAGTGAACTACACATTTTTGTGTTATAATTCAAAAATAAGGAAAAATTGTGTATTTTAGATTCCGAGTGAATCGATGAATGTATTAAGTTTACAATAATGTGTGTTTTTTTTTGTATTTTTTCATTTTTGTGTCTGTGTACACGATAAGTAGTCGAAATAATGCTTCGATTTTCGACTTCAGTATCTTGTTCTATGGGAAAGTGAATATCGTTGGTCCATTGAGGAGGTCAAAATTTAAAATCCCCAATAGTTTTCAAAAGCGCCGGGAAAAACAACATGAAAATTAAGGAAAAACTGGAATTTTTACGCAAAATCGGTTTTTGACAAAATCTAATTTGGTTTTTTGTGTAACTCTAAAACAAATGAACGTATATACATGAAAATTTCACTGAATGTTTATATTAGCATTTTCTATATACCATATAATTTTGAAAATAATCTGACACTTTTTGAGCTGTTTACGGACATTGTCAGTTTTCATTTTTTTTAGTTTTTTTTTCTATAAATATCAATTAAATTATATTTGTTTTGTAAAAAAGCGTGAAAATTTAATGCAATGCTCCTGATATAATTTTACAATAGCAGTTGAAAAATATTAAAAATACATAGGCACAATTTTTTTTATAAGCATTTTTTTAGAATCATTAATTTCAAAAATTAACCAAAACGTAACCAATCCAGATTTAGTTCACAGTAATGCATCAAGACGCAACAATCGTTCAAAACAAGAAGCGTATAACATACGAGATAAATTTAAAGACTATTTTAATAATATTGGTTCTGTCAGTTTTCAGGATTTCAGAAGATAAAAAAAATTGTAAATTATAGTTAATACTTAATATGTATACTTATGTAGGTAGGTAATAATGTAATATACTTATTCCTATGTAACCTATGTATTTACATTTTACAAATTGTACAATAAAATATTTTATAATAATTATAATATTAAATTGAATATATAATAAATTACAGTTGTTATGTATAATTATATAAATAAATATTGATACATACTTTTGACTCTCATTTCTACCGATATATTGTTCCACAACGTTCTACAGACGTCTCTGTTATGGTGAAATTTTGATTTAATGTTCCACAAAGGCTCTTTTTCATGAACTAAATTGATTAACTTTTCACAGTCAACCATATTTATGGTATAATATATACGGTATATTAAATAATAAAACAAATTGAGTTTGTTATATACCGTTGACTTATAACTACTGATCAAGAGAAATGTCGAACTGCAAATGGCAAATATTACCATTCCTTGTTTTTATAAAAATAAATACTAGGTATAAGTTATTTTTATTTTTAAAACTCCCAAAATGAAAATAAATTTGAAAATTATAAATAATATACCTATATTTGTATACTTTCATATTAATTAACTATTTCAATTAAACTATTTACAGCCGAATCGGCCGGAAAAAACAAAATATTTTGTTTTCGTCCGGCATCGGCAGTATACGGCCGTATTCATCGGATGTAATGTGACCGGTACAGTTTAATTTCATTCTTTTATTTTATTCGGACGTATTCGGCCGATGACGTGTGTAGTCTGACCATACCCTTAGGTATTGGTCACACTACACCCGATATCGGCCGAAAAACGTTCGGCCGAATTCGGCCGTATACGCCCGAATATATTAATTCAATTGAATCTATTTATAATGGTCACACTAGTTCAGAATAATTCGGCCGTATACGACCGTTAACGGGCAAAAACAATATTATTTGTTTTTATCGGCCGTTTGAAGCCGAAAATGGATATTTCCCACGCATCGTCTACCAATCCGAAATAATACCAATATAGTTGAACAATTAGTATTATTATTCATTTACATCAAACACTAGTAAGAAGACGGTACGTCATTCGTAACTAGTTTTTGTGTTTCATTGCCTGTGTTTTATTTAAAAAAAAGTACCTTGGAATTTTGAAATAATGGTTGATTGCGAACGACTAATTAGTTTAGTTTTTGAAAGAGAACCTATATGGGATTCTACAAGCAAAAAACACCATAATAGAGATATAACCAGAAAATTGTGGCAGGAAATTGAAAAAGAAATGCAGGTCAAAGGTAAGTAAATATAAAAATATAAATACATAAATTTAATAAAATATTGTAATTGAGATTATTGTTTATTATTATTATTATTAATATTGTGATGGTGGTAAATCTGAATTAAATTTGATAAATAGATAATAAATAAAATACAAATTTAGGTATGAATAATTATATAATATTATTATAGGTACAATTTAACAATTGTTACTTTTATTTTATAACTCCAACAGTTGTGAAATAATCTTTAAAAGTATCACGTATTATGTATGCTTCCGTTCTTGATCTGTTATTGCGTCTAGATACTGAATGTGTTTCTGAGTTTATAGTTGGGTCACGACGAACCTGCTCCAGTAGTGTTTCATCTATACCTTCTTTATCGATGATAATATTATGCAATAAACATATAGTCTTAATAACTATATCAACATGTTCCGGGTTCATTTGAAGTTCGGTTTTTAAACATCTCCATTTCGATACCAAAATTCCAAAAGTGCATTCAATCATACGCCGAGCTTTGCTCAAACGGTAATTAAATGTTTCTTTTGCCGAATCCAAATTTTTATCGAATGGATAGGGTCTTAATAGATACTCTTTCAGTGGATATCCTTGATCACCCAATAGAACAAATGGCATTGGAGTAGTTGTGTTTGGTAATGGTCTGTAATCAAGGCCGGATTAAGGGGGGGTCTAGCCGGGGCGGAAGCCCCGGGGCCCTTTCAAGTACCAAAATGAAAGGGGCCCAAACAATTTTAAGCTGATACACATTTTTCAGTGATTTTAAAGAATAGTTTTTTTATATTTTAAAAACCATTTTTTTAAACAAAAACAACTAAGGGCCGTTCTTACGATGTCCGGTTAAAGTTAACCGACACTTAACCGGAAGAATTCTGCCGGTAATAAAATCTGTTATCAGTCGGTTAGCGTTAACCGACACTTTACAGGACATTGTAAGAACGGCCCTAAATAGTAAATACCTATTTGTAGGAAAGGCGCATTTTACTGTTATTTAATAACTGTTAGTTAATATTTGTTGTAAATAAGTATAATGTTAATAAATTTAAAAGTTGGTATGAAAATTTGAATTTAAATTAATGAAACATGAAGTATTAACTCTGTGGAATGATGGCAGAAGCTGATATGTACATTTTGTTAATTTTTCAATTATATCATTTAAATAGTTTAGAAATCGTATATTTCAAGTAGTGGAAAAAATTTTTCTTCTATCATACTTAATATGATATGTCTCTAATATGTGTGTGGTGCCATTTATATTCAAAGACCAAAACTGATAAGTCATTAGGTATTTGAAAATATATGTAGCCGCAAAACTAAATTTGTAAAATATCAGCTTCTGCTGTCTTTACTTTTATTATATTACAATTAGTGAATAGTGGTTGTATACTTTATAGACATATAAATTACATATACTTACCTATTCATTTTATCATTTTATAATGCAATTGCCATTTGTGAAATAGTTAGAAAAATGTATCTTCCTGTGGGCGTAGCCAGTTTGTTTTAACGCGTGCCTTGTCAAAAGGGCCCATATGAAATTTCAACCCCGGGGCCCAATAGGTTCTTAATCCGGCCTTGTCTGTAATTAGGTACATTGAAGGATTTAGCTTCCAAATTTTTAAAAATATTTGATTCGGTAAATATTCCACTATCGCTCTGTCGTCCGTATGCTCCTATATTATCAACCGATATAAATTTATATTTGGCATCACAGACTCCTTGTAAGTGAACAGAAAAGTAACCTTTGTAATTATAAAACATCGAACCAGAGTTATTTGGGCATTTTATACGAATATGTTTTGAGTCAATACATCCAATACAGTGAATGCTAGAAAAAACCTCCCAAATAGCATTACAAGTCTCGTAGATAATTTTACCAATTGTATTATGGGCCATACGGAATGAAAATGACAACGCTCGATAAGATGTGCCTGTAGATAGATACCTAAAAAATACAAATAAATAAACATACATTTCCTTGAAAAAAAATAAGCAATTATTGGCAAAACAAATCAAAGAACTTCTAAAAGTTTCAAGTACCCAGGAATAATATTTGTATGGTAATACTAAACTTGAACTTAAATAAATAAAAAATAATTATGTACATTATGCATGTACATGCATATATAATATTATGTAATTTTAATATTTTTAAACTGCTATTGTACTTAACAATTTGTGTGAGAAACCTTGTATTACATTTTTCAACTTTTTGAACCTTTTTCTAACCTTTCTAACCTTTTTCTATGAATTTCAATAAAATTGTATTTATTGAGTAAAAAAATCTTAAAATTTTAATATAAGTCCCCTAATATATTGTTACAGTGATATTTTAAAAATATTAAAAATCTAGCCACATTTTTTTTTATAAGCATTTAAAGTTCAAATATTGATAAAATACGTAAAAACAACGAAAATGTGCAAATTATTTTGGACCTAGAAATTCATAAAAATGTTGCTTTGTAAATCTAAGATTTGAAAATGTAATACAAGATTCCTCATAAGTTTGTCCACCTTTAACAAAAAAAAATTCTACAAGATAGTCAAATTAAATTTTTATGAGCGTTTGAAGTACATATTTTTACAACATTGGATATTTACTCGATTTCTCATGTAGCGATTTTCTTATTTTGTTGTTATTCAATAACGAATAACTGCGAATACATGTAATTTTCACTGAATGTTTATATTTTCATTTTCTAAACTTAAATAATGTTGACTCATTTTTACGGTAAATTTAAAATTTCAATTTTTTTAGTTTTTTTTTTATAAATATCAATAAAATTTTATGTGTTGGGCTAAAAATCCTCCAAGAATCCTGATATATTGCTAGAATAGTATAGTTGAAAATATTAAAAATACATAGACATAATTTTTTTTATAAGAATTTGAAGTTCAAATATTGAGAATATTTATCAAATTTAAAATTTAATAATTATTTTGTAATTAAAAATTTATAAAATATTCAAATTTTGTAGCTAAGGATTGAACATTTAAAACCTTCTCCATAGGTATAAGTAGTTATTTCCATAATCAAAAAATCTAAAAATATACACGAACACAGTTTTTTTTTTTAGTTATTTAAAGTTCAATTTTGAACGAAATTATATATTAAATATCCATGAATAATGATTTTACTTATTTTCTAAAATTTTATAATATTAATTCAACTTACCGCACGGATGCCGTAAATAAAAACAACTAAGAAGTAATAACAATACAAATATAATATAATATAATTATAATATGTATAAACATTTAGTAGGCTAATTTTTTTTTTTTTTACATAGGTGATATTTTAAAGACTAAATGGGCAAGTTTGAGAGATATATTTAGGAAAGAATTTAAAAAATTAAAACGTCCCACAGGATCAGGATTAGAAGAAGAAGCTGTTGAATCTCAGTGGAAATATTTTGAGTCGTTATATTTTTTAAAGGATAATATAACTCCTAGAAAAATGGTGGGAAACATAGTAGAACAATCAAAAACTCATATTGATGAACAAGAGAGCTTTCCAAATTCACCATGTAATTCGTCCATTGATGTCGTGAATGATTTTGATGAAACAAGTTTTTCTGAAAAACGTACTGAAAATCCATCGTCTGGTATTTTATCTTTTGAAGAAGGACCATCATCAAAAAAAAAGAAGGGAAGAAATGATGTGATGCAAGATTTACTAGCAATCGAAAAACAAAAACTTCTACAGTTCAATACGATACAGGCAAATTCACAAAAAAAAAATAATGATGAAGATGAAGATTTTCATTTCCTTATGAGTTTGTTGCCTCATTTAAGAGAAATACCAAAACACAGAAAGTTAGCTGTAAGGCTTAAACTTCAAAATGTTGTAATGGCAGAACAAACTGAAAATACCACTGGATCAAGTAATACTTTTACTCCTTCAACATTCTTTGTCAATTCATCGATTCCCCCTATAACCTCATACTATATGAATCAGCCCGAATATTCTTCATCAAATGGCCAGTCTAATATTAAGAACACTATTCCTTGTGGTCAACCAAACTTAAATCCTACAGCTGTAGATAATGCATGTTTATCTTCTTGGCCAAACATTAACAACGAATAAAAAAAATGTATATTTTATAAGCAAGTCAATTTTTTACTATAATATTAAAAAGTTATGTATTATTTTTTTTTTAAATTGAAAGTATGAAACGTTGTTTTTCTTATTAAATTGTTCAATAAAAGTTGTTTTCATTATTTTATTCTTATAAATTTGTTCAATAAAAATTTTTTACTATTTTATACTGATCTATTTTTTCAATAACTTTATTCGTGTTATATTAAATTTGTGTAAAAAAAAAACATAATTATAGCCTCGGAAAATTATAATTATCTCATTTCATATTAGTTATTTTATATATTAATTGAAAAATTATAAAGTAATGATTACCTATTAACAATAATATTAATATAAATAATAATATTTACCTTAAAGTTACTACAAGTCTTTCTTCTGGAATTATGCATTTTCTGAAACTGCAATACTTTTCTATGTATGGACGAATTTTTTCCAAAATATAAAAAAAGGTTTCAGGTGATACCCTCATATATTCAAAAAATTTGATTGGCTGTTTTAAAAGTTGTGGGAAAAGCGTGTGAAATTCACCATATTTTTCCCTTTCTTCAAATATTCTGTTGACCCACCATTGCCTTTCTACTTTTTCACTGAACAGTAAATACTTTAGAACAGGACTGGTTTCCAAAAAATAAAGTTGGTTGATTACTTCCATTTCATACAACTACTGAACAACGAATGAGGCATATTACAATAAATTCAAACGGTTGTGTATATTTGACCGATGACGGGTGTAGTGAGACCAGAAAATTCGGCCGATAAATGAACCCGAAAAATCGGACGAATTTGACGGTCTCGAATCGGCCAATATCGGGCGTAGTGTGACCAATGCCTTAGTGCCGGATCACACTATGCGTTTTGTCGGTTGCCGATAAAACGCAACCGATCGGTAAACGACCGCGACATCCATAATTAACATTAAACCGCATTATCAGGGCCAGACTGACCGATTCGGCGAACCGATTTGAAATCGTTGGGAACCGGCCGCTACACGTAGCGGTTGACTTTACCGATGCGGTTCGGAAAATACCCCAAAACACTTTATTTAATACTGAGCCGACCACACATGCGGATTATCGGTTGCGGTTTTAAATTTAAATTATAAAAATTATAATTTATAAAACATTGATAGTTTTTAATTGTATTGACATACCTAAATTATTAACATGTATTCAACGGAGAAATTAATTTCGGAAGTCCAGAACTATCCTTGTTTATGGGACATGAGTTCTAAAGAATACAGCGATAAGGACTTAAAAAAATCATGTTGGATGAAGGTAGCTGAGGTAGTTTATTCTACAAATTGGAATAATTTTTCATCAACTGAAAAAGAAGAAAAAGGTAAGAACTATTAATTATGTATTAATGTAAAATTATATAGGTATGTAGGTAACATTATTTTTATAACTAAGTATATAGTACATCATACATAGTACATCATACAAAATAAATAGGTACCTAATTTTCGTATATTTTACTTTGTCACAATTGTTTTATCATATAATAATAATAATATTATATTAATTATACATTTATAACGATACAATATGGCTAATTTAAAATAGAATATTTAGAAAAGAATTTTTTTACTTAGATAATATAGGTACTACATGGTTACTTTGTACTTATACTAAAAACTATGATAATAGGTACCTAATGCGATTTGATTTCAAAAAAATTTTAATCAAGAATAATAATAAATATAACATTTAAATTTGAACACATAATGTTACATATTGCCATAACTAAAGTGTTGTTCTATATTGAAATGGAACAGCCCCTTGATTAATAAAATAATTCGCAAAATTGTCTCTAATTTCCATTCCATTTCGATTTATATGTCTGCCATGTCCTTGAAAATTGTCGAGGTTATTTATATAAGCCGTATCTGCAATATCTTCATCATAATTACTTCCGTCTCTTTTTCTAACAAAGTTATGCAAAACACAACATGCTTTTATGATGTGATCACAAAAATCTGGTTCGACTAGAATAGTTGTATGTAATACATTCCACTTATTAGCTAATACACCAAAAGCACACTCGACAGTTCGTCTTGCTCTCGATAGTCTATAATTAAATATTCTACGAGTATTATTCAGCCCACGTCCTGGATATGATCGTAATAAGTTGGTGTGTAGTCCAAATGCCTCATCGGCAACAAATACAAATGGTTGTAAATTATTTTCCGTCAGTGGCAACGATACTGGATCAGGAATTTGTAGTTGGTTTGTATACAACTTTTTCCCAAATACACTTTGTCGAAAAACGTTAGAATCAGCTTCTCGCCCGTACGCTCCAACATCGATAAAAATGAAATTTAAATTCGCATCTACCACTGCCATAAGTACAATGGAAAAATACTTTTTATAATTATAAAAAAGAGACCCAGAATTGTTTGGGTTTCTGCATCTTATGTGTTTTCCATCAATGGATCCGAGACAATTTGGAAAATTGGGTTTTTTATAAAAAAGTTCAGAAATTTCAATCCATTTTTCTCGGTTTGGTTCCGGCATTTCCGTGGGTTGTAACACTGACCATAAGATTTGACAAGTTTCACGGACAATTTGGTTAATAGTACTCTTGCCAAAACGAAAATCAAAATGTAGTGCAGAAAAATGAATTCCCGTTGACAAACATCTGCTCAAACATACATAATATATAATATTACATAATATTATTATATATTATCATTACCGAAAAAAAAATGTATTTAATTACTTTTTTTTTTGAAAAATAACCAATTTGTAACTAAATCTAATTTTTAGACAAATTTTGATAGTAAAATCTTTTATTTAAGTCAAGTAGTTTATTTTTTACAACTGTTTAAAGTATAAATATTTTTTTGGAGTAAACTAATTTGAAACTTAATAACTTTTTAAAAACATTATTTTTGGGAATTTCCTGTAATAGATAGGAAGTAGTATATTTTTAAAGTATATTTTCCTATATTATTTGTCATAATTTTAACTAGGATCAACTTTTTTTGACAAGCCCTGTTAAATCCTGTTTATAAAAATTGTCGACTACCTATGTATTTTTTTTTTTTGTTCATAACAATAAAAACCGTAAAAAGGGTATTTAATAGTCATAATATAGTCCACACAACTTATTACTATTAGAAAATTTTAATGTAATTAATATAAATTATTGATATTACCTATAAATATTTAGTTAATGAATTGAAGAATAAGAAATGGAGGCATATTCGCGATGCATACAATAAACACATATCCGATGAAAAAAGCATAAGAAGTGGATCAGAGGCAACAAAAAAAAAACATATGCATACGCTGAGTGTTTATCTTTTTTAAATAACACAAGTAAAAAAAGAAAGTAAGTATGTCTATATAAAAAAAAATTTTTAATGTATTTTCGATATTTTTTGATACCAGAAAAACTTTTAAGAAACCTTATACTATTATTGTTTATATGCTTTTTTACCGAAAACTAATGAGTATAGAAAATTTTAACTGTCAAAGTTTAATGTTATATTTCTTATAAATTTATAATAGATGTTAAAAATTATTTAAGATATATCAATTATTTTTTTAATATAGGTACATTTAATGTTCAAATTTTGGCAAAATTCATTAAAAATTCTAAAATTGTTTAAACTATTTTTCAGTTGGTAATTCATAAAAGTCCTTTCTTTCATAGCTAATATTAGACATTTTGATACCTAGGAGGTTCCTAACAAGCTTAGATCATATATCTATATATATTGTATATGATCTAAGCTAATAAGTTTAGTAAGCATTAAGTACAAGTACTACTTACTTTATCAAATATAAAAATGGTTACCGGAAAGTTACGCAGTTTATAGCTATGAAATATTTTCGATTTTTATTAATTTTTTTTTTAAACTATTATATTTGATTATTTATAAGTATGCTAAGTAAGTATGCTAAGCTGACACAACTTTTCTACTCAAAATCGTTTATCATATTATACAATGATTTATCATTGATGTCAAATATAACAAATCCATTACAACGACATTCTCTACAACTACTATAGTACCGTACAGTAGAGAGGTACCCAATTGACCACCTTTTTTTGTTTTTGAGTTGCAACAAAATAATAAAATCGATTTATTCGAAACTGATTTCCCGTTTTCCTGTATTTTTCTTAAACTAACAAAACATTTTTTATACATTCTTATGCATCTAAGTATCTAACAACATTTTTATATTTTTAATTTATAGAACAACTGGTAATTGTGAAGAAGTTGAAGATGATGGGACAGAGCATGATGACATTGTCGATATAGATAATGATATTTCTGAAGTATCTATGGTAGACCTTAATGTTTCATCTTCCTCAGCAATACATCAAACTCATAAGAAAAAAAAATCTGCAAATGTAACACCATTTCAAAAAACGTTGATTGAACATTTAAATAAAAATAATGAAAAAGAATCGGATCCAGATAGACATTTAGTTATGTCATTTGTTCCATATTTAAAAAAATTGAATAATGATCAAAAATTAGATTTCCAAATTCATGCTCTCAAATATTTAAAAAATATAACTCAACCACAAACTACACCCGGTCATCCAATTCATGGTTCATACCCCACATATTACCCTCTGGCTCAAAACACGACTTCTAATATGCAATATCCTTATAATTCTTCTGTATCCACACATCCATACTCATATCCATACGCATCTCAATCACAAATATCAGTACCCCCCATTGAAATTCCTATAAATCCCCTTAATTCACAATACTCCAACACAGAACATGCTATTCAAACCCAACAATATACACCAATATCGCAACTTTCACGATCTGATAATTTATAAATATAATATTAATTTTCACTTTGTATTCTATAACTTTAGGTACTATTAATTATCATTTTTTAGCTAGAAATATAATTATTATTATTAATCAACCAAGTAGGTTATGTTATCTTATATTAATTTTCATTGTTAATTTATATTATATATGTTACATAATAAATAAACATTTGAATTCAAAGTCATGACTTATGAGGTAATGAGTTCTATTCAAGTATTATATATTTTAAATATATAATATTATTATTATTTTTAAAAAGACATTTTTCAAATTGTTCAAGTTATTATAATTTATTAATATATATTTAAGATGTATTTATTTATTATATCGACCTGTAACAATGTATACTTAATTCCTATTTAAAATTGTATTTAAGAACAAAATTGAAATATATTTCATTAGTAAAACATAATAAATTAATTTTTTTTATATATAATAATAATTATATTATCGTATTTTTATTACCTAATCCCTTTTAAAACTCGTCGAGTGTAAAAATTTGAAAATTAATATTTATACTTTTAGTGGTCTATTCAATACCTTTAGACAGTTAAAGATTAAATATTCAAATAGGTACATATCGTTTCGATATTTAATAAATATGATTAGACTAATGATCATTGTTAATTAAAAAAAATAAAAATACATCCCTTCTAAACTATGAACATTGAACAGTATTCAAAATAAACTAAAACACTCGATATGTATTTTAAAATTTGTTTTGAACTTTGTTGATAAGCATGCATAATGATAGTGATACCTTAATGTGACTGTCAATCTTTCTTCAGCAGTTATTGGGTTACGTAAATGGGTAATCTCTTTAGTAATTTTTGGCCTCACTTTTTCTAATAGCTCTTCAAATGACAAAATTGACATACGATAATAATCAAAAAATTTTTCTGGGTATTTTTTGAATTCATTGAAAAAGGTTGTAAATCGCATATCACTCTCTCGACTACTGTTAAGTGGATGGACCCAGTATCTTCTACGTTTAGATGGAAATGGTTCATCAAGTTCACCTGCAGCTTCGGCCAAACAAAGAATTTCCGCGAGAGAACTCATTTTTAAAGGAAAAATCTTGAAAAATAACTGATAGAGCGAACAACACATCCGAACACATTTACAGCAAATGGTGAACTACATCATACTTAGTACCCACGAACAAATTATTTTCTAACATTTTATTATGACATAACAGTTTGTCATTCACATTTAACCATTTCGTCGAAATTAAATCCATATTAGATATATTATACTTATATTAATAATTCTTATTAATATTTAGCAGTACCTAGTATAGTATAATAAAATAGTAATTTGTACGAGCTTAATTTCGATGAAATCAAACATAAACTAGTCTAATATTTACAATAACATATTATTTTAAATTAAAATATTTCCCACGCTTTTTAAATCGGCAACCGATAAAACGCGTAGTATGGTCGGTCTTCCCGATTGCGGTTGATCGGGATACATTTTATCGGCAACCGACAAAACGCATAGTGTGATCCGGCACTTAGTGTTTCGTGAGTTCAAGTTTATCATGTGTAAAAGTATTGGGTGAATTTCGCCAAAATAATTATATTAAATCGAGTTTATTATTAATGTATTAAAACATTGTTTTTGTGTCTGTGCGTAAACAATACCTATAGTCCTTACTTCATTACCTATACAATCGATTATTAATCATGTACATTCATTTAATATTCAAGTATGTTTGTAAGGCATTTTGAATGTCTAGATGAAAAACTTCATATTTGCCTAACATTACAGACACACGTTCGAAAGTGGTGTAACGTATAGGGATAGTGGCGTAGAGCACTATGTACTATGTAGTATGTTTCTATAGGCCACAGAGGAAGAACTAACAAATTTTTTTTTATGTAACAGTGACCAAACTCTGATTTTTTAAAATCCATTCACAACGGAAACAACGTACCTTGAGACATTGAGCATACATATTCGTTATGTAAGTGCCACTGTGCCAGGTGGTAGATGACGAGAAAGTAACAGGAATCTCACTCGATACGTTACCCACACTGGGCAATATTTATTTGATTGGTACAAAATATACGGTAAACAAAACAATTTCACATACCTACTCGCTTCTCGTTTATTGGGTCTGTATTTTGTATAAACTATAATATTATTAACGGCGTATCGGTGTACATAGCCATATTAGTTCTTTTAGTTATAAGTATATATTATTAGTGATGAAAGAAGTTATAAGTGATGAAAAAAAAATAGTAATATCAATATTAATCCATACATTGTTCTTGATTAATCTAAAACACAAATAACATAACAACTATAATATAAAAATTTTTTTCAACAGGACTATTCGGGCCAACTGTCGAGAAGAAACGATGGTTTTGGATATTAGGAGGGAATGTCCGGCTTATAGACATAGGTACTGCACTAAGGACGACTAGAGGACATTTTTCGGAGAACTGTTGTACTAGGACGCCTGGCAGCCACCGAGCCACCCCCGCAAGTGTTCTCGTCGGGCCACGACGAAGGCTCGAGGTGCACTACAACAAGCGGCGACCCAAGCCGGCAGTTCCCGGGAGCGAGAGGAGGATGCTCTGGTGCTTGACGCCAGCGATTACTATGGCATGCAGCAGCGGCAGCAGCTTACACGGGACCGGGATCGGGCAAGCAGAGTACGAGTCTCGAAATCAGCATTTTCCGGAGGATCACCACCACGGAAATGCTGCTCGCCTCTGCAAAACGGGCCCTAGTGTTCGTCCTGGGGTCCGGCAGGCGGTTCGGACTAGAACCTGAGGACTACCTTCTTGCTGCCGATCGAGGGGCAGCCCGAGCGGGCCGGACCCGGTGATGGTGGTGAGGAGGAGGAACTTTTGGACGTGACGGTGAAACTGATTGGAGGTGAGAAATTTGACGACGACGGCAGTTCCGAGAAAAGCGAGAAATGGCTTTGATAATTCCGGCGAGCATATCAATAGCAACTAATGCTTGAGAACCTATTTTATTTGTTCTCCCTATACACATAAAAATAATGTAGGTGATTTAACTTCAAACTACAATGTTCAACACCCATTAGTTGAATCAACTGCGTAGTCATTTATATTAACCACAATAATATGTTGGCTTAACGCATATTGTTGAGAAATGATAATAAGTCATAATAACACCCAAAATTAGTTGAATTTAGGAAGTTGTAGGTATTCAATAATATAATCTAATACCGGCAGTTAAATTGATAAAATAGAGAATGTTGTTTTAAAATATGAGCTCGATTCATTATGAACTAATTTTGTTGTTGTTTCTACTCCAAAATAGTGTTAAAATACCATTACAATACCATTCAGTACGTTATTTTTACAACGCCGAAAAAACCCGAAAATCGTCCGTATGCGTTATGTGCACATAATGTGGATTTCTCCCACTCTACTACCGTAGAGTACTAGTGTTCTCTCATAGTCTCGTCTCTTGATGCCCGATAGCCTTTGTAATTTTTATACCCATAGCACGTTTATCCCTTCATAGTTCATGGTAAATGTTATTAAATTAATTGCAAACTATAGTGACTTTACCTACTTACAGGTTACTTTGTTTATTTACTTACAAGATTACAAGTTTATTTAACAATTTAGAATCTTTAAGATATTTCTTAAGCAACTATAGTTGCCATTCAGTTAACGTCCAGTAACATCGTGTGCAATATGGACGATACGTGGAATACGGTACGTACCTAAAACACATTTACTACTTATACTATTGTATAATATTATATAGCATTAGCGTACGATTATATGATTTCAGCATTAAATTTACAACAAATTTTGTTGATTTAACATTTATTGATAGTACATCATTGTATTTTAATATGTTAAATGCATTTATGTATTACATACAATCTTAAAATGGTTATCTCTGCTTGGCTATTTGCTTACTCAATTCACTTTTATAATCGTGAAATTGATCAAGATATGCATGCATTTAAATCTGGACTTATAGCAACACCTATTAATTATAATCTATATGTTTAACCGATTGCCAACAATAGATACAGTCCAGATTTGTTTGAACCAACTCCAATAAGTTGAAAAATCAATAGCAATACTTCAGTACAGCATACTGTTGAGAGATATTCCGCTTATTCAGCTGTTAAGGTTTCAACTGTCAATGAGCACATCAAGTATGGCACATATAAGCCAATGAACTGGACAAAAGAAGTGAGTTAATTTACCTTAAATTTATATGTTCCTCTTAAAATTAAAATAAGTGTAAAATAATTCATGCAATTGTATTTTAGGCATACAATGATACATTTAACTATTGATAGTCAAAAGGCCAATTGTCCTAACCCACAAAAACATAATTTTACAATAGACACATTAAACCTTTTATTTACCTACATAATCATTTTTGATTGTACTAGATAATTATTTATTATTACTGTGATTCCTAAGAATCAGTTTTCTTAAGAATTTAAAGTTTATAATAATTATTTGTATAGTTAATTTAGTGTTATTTATGACCTAGGCGAGGGTTACAGCATTTGACCACATAATATTTATGATTGCATTATTAGAAGTATTGCTTTGTATTAGGGTTACTACATTTGACAACGGTACATTTTAGTTACAGATCATAATAGTTATTTAAATTTAGATCAGATATATATTTTTAAAATGATAAGCTAGTGGATAGTCGAATAAAACTGAAGAAGAAAAATTGAAATTTCAAAAACATTTAGAAGATGCTGAAAGTTCTAAAAATATACATTTAGAAGATCAAAAAAAAAAGTAAAGAAGATCATTCATTTCTGTTGAAATATACAATTAATATGTAGTCAGCCTTGACACGTGTGTACAATATAGTAACTGGTTATGTACGAGCATAAGACTCACTCTCTTTACGGATGTAACATGACCTCGGTCGTGCATATATATAGGGCCTTTGATGTATGTAATATTCACTTGCACAGGCGTCGTTGTACAGAGCGTATACGATGTGTGTGTACTGTCACAGTTTAATTGTCCAGTTGTACGTTATTATATATTATACTTATACATAATCATATTGTCGTGTTATTACTTATTATATTAATGCTAACATCATTAGTCCGTCAAGCTTCACTTTCAACAGGTTATGGGCCCAGGCAATAACCAAGACAAACAGTCTAGTGGATTCGTGATCGAAGTATTTTTATATTTGTATTAACGCAGAAAACTACAACCAGTCGGAGATATCCTGGATTTCGGAAAACGGCGGAACAGTGTACATAGGTAAAGTTTTGTTATAAATTGTTATACAGGAAAGTATACGGGAAACCATCGGTCATGGAAGACACGGTGAAGATAACACAATTATGTGCGGAAAACTGGTCGTTATGGAAGTTCCAGATGAAGGTCATTCTAAATGCCTTGGAAGTAGGTGAGATAGTTTCAGGTGAATGGACGAAACCAAGTCTACCTATAAAAAAGTCGGCAACAGAGTCCGACGAGGATGCCAAAGCACGTTGGCAAAGGCATACAAACGCTTGGCAAAAAGCGGACGGTAAATGTCAGAAAATAATAGTTACCTCAGTGGACGATGGTCCATTACAATATTTGATTAACTGTGAGACTGCATTGGAAATGTGGGAGAAACTGCTGAGTATTTACGAGCAGAAGTCTGAGGCAAGGTTACATTTGCTTCAACAACAATTTTTCAGTTATTCAAAGGAGTCGACAGATGACATGTCGACGCATATTTCTAAATTGGTCAATTTAGGAAGGAAACTGAGAGTAGCGGGTGAACCAGTTACGGATAACATGGTTATGACAAAAATACTAATGACATTACCAAAAGAATATAATCATTTTTACAGTGCTTGGGATTCAGTCCCAACGGGAAGTAAAAATATAAATAATTTGACTAGTCGATTGTTGATTGAAGAATCACGGGTTATCCAGATCAAAGGTGAAGTTGGAGAACAAGAGAAATCGAGTGCATTTCCGGCCAAATTTCAAAACAGATCTGATGGAAGAAACGGCAGTCGTAATTATGGAAAAGGTAAAAATCAATTTACTAATAAAAGTAATATTAAGTGTTATTACTGTGGTAAACTAGGTCATTATAAAAAAGACTGTAGAAATGTTCTACAAAGTGTACACGGTGGTAAAACCGGTACAATAGGTGCGAACTTGAACGCATTCGTAAGCGAGTCAAGAATAAATAATATTGCAACAGATGCGTGGGTACTAGACTCGGGCGCTTCGGATCATATGAGCGCGAATCGAGAGTGGTTTTCAAGTTATGAACTACTGGACAACACGCAACAAATCACGATAGGTGAAGGGACGAATCTGTATGCAGCAGGTAGAGGTAATATTAATATATTATCATACGTAAACGGTAATTGGAATAAAAATTACATGGCAAACGACAAACGTGTTGCACGTGCCAGGACTAAAATTTAATTTATTTTCGTGCGGAGCCGCGATGGATAAAGGTTTAGTAATGACGTCAGATAGTAAGACGTGTATGTTAACTAAACAGGGGAAACCCGTATGCTCAGGTAAGAGATGCGGAAGGTTGTTTGAGTTATACATCAAGGTCGAAGTACCGACAAACGGGTACGTGGCTGCAGCTGTCGAAAACAGGTTGTCTGTTTGGCACGAGCGCATGGCACATTAGAATTTACAGTACGTAAAAAGTTGTTTGGCGAAACACGAAATAGTATGTTCGGCCAAGGACGACGAATTCATGTGCAGCAGTTGTATAATAGGTAAACAAAGTCGTAAATCATTTAGCAAAAGTAATACGGAGTATCACAATGTCGGTGATTTAATTCATGCAGACCTATGTGGAAAAATGGAGGTAAACTCTATAGGCGGTTCAAAATACTTTTTGTTATTCAAAGACGACTACTCGCATTATAGAACGGTATATTTTATTAAAAATAAATATGATGTTAAAAATATTTTTGAGACGTTCATAAAAAGTGTTGAAACAGAAACAGGTTCTAAGGTCAAAATATTACGAACGGATAATGGATTAGAATTCGTAAATAAAGAGATTACGGGTATTTTACAAAAACACGGGATTCGACATCAGTTAACAGTTCCCTACACACCACAGCAAAATGGAAAAGTGGAACGGGAAAATCGTACAATAGTAGAGTCAGCGAGGACAATGATTTGTGCTAAAAATTTGGATGTATCACTTTGGGCGGAGGCGGTAAACACGGCTGTTTACACGCTTAATCGAACAGGAACCAGTTCAGTTAAAAATAACTCACCATACGAGTTATATTATAAGGTAATGCCAGACATTAAACACTTACGAGTTTTTGGTACTGTCGTATATACACACATACCAAAGCAAAAACGTAAAAAGTGGGACCCTAAAAGTGAAAAAGGAATATTTGTTGGCTATTCGGATAATACCAAAGGTTATCGTGTGTATTATTCGAAAACAAATAGAATTTCAATGTCTAGAGATATTATATTCGAAAACGAAGGTAATAAATTGGAAAATATAATTGAAGACAAATTAGAATTCACAGATACTCAGACTCAAATCGAGGACGATCCGGTCAAGGTCGAATTGACGACGGTCGACAACAGGAGTGGCATGGTGCTACGTGATCGGAATACATTAAAAGCGCCGATCAGGTATAATGTGTCGTCGTTCGTCACCAATCTCGTTGAACCACTAAATCGTGATGAAGCGATAGCTGGCCCACAGAAAAACGAGTGGGGGCACGCTATGAGTGATGAAATTACGTCACTACACAAAAACAACACTTGGTCACTAGTTAATTTGCCTCAGGGCAAGGTTGCATTACGTAACGCATGGGTTTTCAAAACCAAATATAAAAGTGACGGTAATATCGATAAGTTTAAGGCCAGATTGGTCATTAAAGGTTGTTCACAGAAATACGGTATAGATTACCATGAAACATTCAGACACGACGTTCAACATCAGGATTTCTATTCAGGTACGGGTGAAGCATAATTTCATGGACATCGCAGAGACAACATTGTGTGTCGTTATCATCGACAGAGGCTGAATATATTTCGGCCAGTGAAGCTGTCAAAGGGATCTTGTGGATTACACGGTTGATAACAAGCTTATCAACAACAGGTGACAAACAACCAGTTTTATTTATAGATAATCAGAGTGCTATACGTTTAGTTAAGAATCCGGAGTTTCATAAGAGGACAAAACATATAGACGTACGGTACCACTTCATACGGGAGAAATACGAAAAGGGACAATTCCAACTACAGTACATTGGAACAGAGGACCAGATTGCGGACATTCTAACCAAGCCTTTGGTTAAGGAACGATTCGAGAAGTTGCGGTCAGCCATAGGAGTGACTACAATTAAAGAGATTATTAATTGAGGGAGGGTGTTGAAATATACAATTAATATGTAGTCAGCCTTGACACGTGTGTACAATATAGTAACTAGTTATGTACGAGCATATAGGGCCTTTGATGTATGTAATATTCACTTGCACAGGCGTCGTTGTACAGAGCGTATACGATGTGTGTGTACTGTCACAGTTTAATTGTCCAGTTGTACGTTATTATATATTATACTTATACATAATCATATTGTCGTGTTATTACTTATTATATTAATGCTAACATCATTAGTCCGTCAAGCTTCACTTTCAACAATTTCTATGCACCGGTTTCGACCTACAAAAAGTCCTCAATACGCCTCACGGAAATAGTATGTTATTATACTATTCAAGAAAATATGCTATCTATAATGAATCATTTTACGAAAGTGGTACAAAAAATGGTTACTGCTTCATTTGGGGAGAAGAAAATGGTCAACGTGGAGCTAATGACATTTGTTCGGTAATACTCAAATATTTAACAATTGTAGACGAGAGAGCAGAAATTAAAAAAGTGTCATTATATTGTGACTTCTGTCCTGGGCAAAATAAAAATCATCAAACATTATCGGCAATATCTTGGTTCATTTTAAATAAGTCGAAGAATATCCAGGAAATAACTGTTACATTTTTGCAACCTGGTCATACTTACATGACTGTTGATTCAGTGCATGCTACCATAGAATCAAATTTAAAAAATAAATTTGCTTGGGCACCTTCAGAATGGCCGACAATTATGGTAAATGCAAGATTGAATCCAAAACCGTACGATGTATATAAGGAGAGTCATAATGACTTTATGGACTTCAAAGTATTACAGCATGCGATCTTTCCTAAAATAGTTTTAAAAAACGGAAAAAAATTCAGCGAAATAAAAAAAGTATATTTTTCAAAATCGATAGATGTGAAAATATCATTTGGTTAAGTGTTGGACGCTGAGTTTGAAATTATAAATGTTACAGCAAATAGAACAAAAAGAAAAAGAAATGAAATTGGTGTATTGATGCATGCGTATAACTTAAAACTACCAATACTTGAAGCAAAATATAAAGATCTGGTAAAACTTTGTGAAACAAATGCGATTCCACCGAGGTATCACCAGGAATATTTATCTATGTCGAGGGTAAGTACAGTTAAAGATGCATTGGCAGCAACGGACGACGAGGATGATATTAACCTGATTTAATAGTTTTATATTTTGTTTTCTTGTTATTTGGGGAACTAATTTTGTTTTATTTTTTAAATGAAAACAAGTTATTATACATTTTTATTTTTTTATTGTCATTCGAAGAGCGAATTTAATTTAATTTATTTCTAAACGTAAAAATTAAGTTTTTATAAATATTATAATTATTAATTTATAGTATTACATTTTTGTGTTTAATTATTCAATAATTTCATATTAACAATACCTACCTATGTTCTTGGTGTACCTACCTATTTCATATAAGAACAAATTTTGAATAATATTAATTGATTAACATTTTAGGTTTCAGCATGTGGGTTACAACAATGTGGCATAATGAACAAAAAAGTCTCGAGGCTTACGTTCTCTTATTATAACATTTTTATGTTGGTTTACAGCATTTGTCACTATTTATCATTATGGGTTACGACGTTAAAATAAATGATAAATATTAAAATTATAGTAGTTAAATAGTGCATAATAGTATAGAATTTATTGGAAATGGTATTTTACCTTGTTAAAAAAAACTATAGTTCTACCACTTTTGAATAATTCTAATGATATTCAAAAAAAAAAAATCAAAATATTTTTAATGTATTAAAAAATCCTTTTTCATGTCTTGAAACTGAGTTCAAACGAATGAAATATTTAACAGATCATAATTTATTTAGCATAGTATTAAATTATTATCTATCTATTGCCTTTTATAACCTCAAAATATTTTTCCAATTAATTCCCGTGTGATAAGGTTGCATGGCCTATCCATTCTTCTATTATCTATGGTATCACCTATATACTCTGCTTCACATAATTTAAATTATTTGTGCTACTCAAAATATGTCTTGTAAATAAATGTCTAATATACAAAATATACTACTTACAGTTAAATAATTATCTTTTTTTTTCTGCTGTGGACCGTTTACACATTTGTAATAGACATGCTGTTTTATTAAGAAAGGACAACCAATAAATTGAATAGGTATTTCTCCCCGTTCAAGAGTGAACCGATACTTAGAATTTTCTCCTACAGGAATAATTTGAAATAAAAATAATTAAAGTAAGAAATTAGTAAATAATTAATAAATTACCTTCATATTTCACTGAGTTTTCTACAATAAAACCGTAACCCAACAATAATAAATCTTTCACATATTTGTCAAAATCATTTGTTTCATCATCGTATGTCAAATTAAATAAATTTTCTTTTAAGGTATTAATTAAGTCAATATTATTCATCTTTTTTATTATAAAAATTATTATTAAAATTGATTGTACAATTAATTAAATATTCTCCAATATAGCCAAAGTTAGTACAAAAAATAATAGACACTCAACTATTTAGATCACTTTTACCACATAATTGTATACTATTAAAACCAGTTTACTTTTTTTTTTTAATTTATCTCCACTCTGTAACTCTGTGACTGTTAAATACCTTCTTATGAGATTATATTTTGTATTATATTTTATTTTTATAGCAGTAGGTTATACTCTATAGCCTATACGTAGAATAACTATAAATTATAATTAAAGAGAAAAAACCACAACATGTTAGACATTTTATGTTTTGTATTTTCAATGTAAATAATTATAACAAAAAAATAATACAGGGTGATTCATTTTTGTTGAAAAAATGAAGTTGACTGAGTCATGGTTGAAGAATCCAAAGGCACAGGAATACTTCATCAGAATCTTATTTTATACTTATATTATTTATACTTAATTTAGTTAATGAGTGAAATGGTTATAAAGAAAAATGGTTTAACACTGATACCTACAAAACGTAGTTCAACAGTATTATTAGATTTGCCGAAAAGCCATAAAAGACATAAATCAAAAGACTAACCTAACCTAATTTGTATTTATTGTAATGACTTTTTATTTTATACTTATATTATTTATACTTTATTTAGTTACTTAAGAAATTAGAATTAAGAATAATATAATATAATATTATTATTATATTTAACATAGATTATAGGTGATACTATCATATTATGTGATAACATTGATAAAAAAAAAATGATAACACTTTGGAGCCGTAATCGACTGTATTTATAACGACCCTCCCTCCAGAATTTTTATCTTCATTAGATAATATTTTTGTTGCTTTTTTTTTCATTCATCAGATAGAGACCAGTGTAAAGTCAATAACAAAACAATGTTTTCAGCCTTGATTAAAGAACTAATTGAATTACAAGAGAATGGCATACAAATATCTATAAATTCTGAAGTGAATACAATTTATTTTTGTCTTGGATTAGTGTTGGGAGATAAGTGATAACCTAGGTTTAAACTCGATCTTAGGGTTTGTTGAAAGTTTTTCGGCAAATTATTATTGTCGAATGTGTCATTCTCACAATTCAGATCTACAATACATGCTTAAAGAATCAGCACTGATTAAAAATAAAACTAACTATATAGATGATTTAAGAATAAACGATGTTTCTCAGACAGGAATAAATGAGTTATGTGTTTTAAACCAAGTTCCTAATTTCCACGTAACGGACCACATAGTATGTGATTTTATGCACGATATACCAGAAGGGGTTGCTCGTTATGCTATGGCTGTCATTATAAATCATTTGATAATAAAAAAATATTTCACTTTAGATATTTTGAATAAACGGATTTAACTTTTCAAATATGCGATAACTGAACGTAAAAATACTCCTCCCAGTATTATCCAAAATAATTTAAAAAAAGGTTATATTATTATGTCTGCATCAGAAAGGCTATGTCTAGTACGCTATTTTGGACTTATAGTTGGAGATCTGATACCTAGAGAAATTGATGTATGGCGTTTGTATTTAAATTTGCACAAAATTATTGATTTATGTTGTGCCAGAAAAATACAACCAGAGTGTGCAGCTCAAATTGATTCTATTGTTGCTGAACACAATCGATTGTACCTACAATATTCACAAACTCCATTAAAACAAAAATTTCATATTTTAACTCATTATGGTAGATTGTTGTTGAAAAATGGACCAATAATTTTAACATCAGTAATTCGATTTGAAGCTAAACACAAAATTCTTAATTCTATTGCTAATGCAATGCCATGTCGAATTAACCTTGGGTATACTTTAGCACGTAAATTACAATTACAAACTATGAATCGCTTGTTAACAATTTCAGGTTTACAGCCTGACTTAAAAGTTGGTTCTGGTAAAAGTGTAATTTCCAAAATAGAGTTAACTTATAATGTTTACAAAACTATACCTTCAGAGTTGGTTAATGAATCATATAAGGTATTACGGGTAGAGTATAAAGGTATATATTATAAGATTGGATTAATTTTGGTAATACAAACAAATCTTGATGATTGCTTATTTGGAGAAATAGATAAAATACTTGATGGTAAGTCTAGAGTGCCATATTTTATAATCAAACCATTAATATCAATAGGGTTTGACTGCCATTTTCACGCACATGAAGTAAACTTTGACCATTCAAATATTGATAAAATAGGGTATTATATCAATGAACTTGACTATCCATATCCTACTGCTGCTAGAACAATAGGTAATAATAAAACATATGTTTTATTAAGATAACTAGTCATATTATGTAACTCACCAAATACTGTTAGTAAATAAATGTAAATAATACCTACCCAGTACCTACCTATGTAAAACATTATAATGTGAACATATTATGATGTAATAAGTTTTATTATATAGAGTTTATTATAATTATTTTATTTATATCTAATTTATGTTTTGATATTTATAAAAATAAAAATAATTATTTATTATTACAATTGATTTTTCATTTATATAATATATAGGTGTGGGTATACCTAATAATGTATATAAAGAATTATTATTATGTTTCGTGCATTGGTACCTACAATAGTGTGAAGTATACTGATTAAAAACTATAATAGACTCCAATTTTTATCCATCTTTATTTTCTTCTAAAACAAGTATTCACAAATATCACAAATATCATAAACATACTTTTTATTATAATATATTTATTGCAGGGGCGTACCCAAGGGGTGGTCAGGTCTGGACCCCCCCCTCCATTGATTAACAAAATTTAAAATTCTTGAGGTGCAAATTACTTATTGTATACTTTGTACATGTCAAAAAAATTGGGACCTCTACCTTTAAAAATCCCTGAGTACTCCATTGATTTATTGGATAGGTACCTAACCTATATTAGTTGAATATAATTATATAATAAATGTATTGTATTATATATTTATGAGCATAATTTAGAGATATTGTCATGTAATATATAAGTATTAAAAAAAAACATACGTATCTTAGAAAACTACATAGTATACTTGTGCTCTTATATTAATATTAAAATATTGAGCAGACGTACTTATATAAAAGAAAATATTCCACAGATTATTACTTATAAGTTGTTATACCTACTGCACTTATATATTATACCATGAAATTAAAATTACATTAATAACTTAATATTAAAAGATAAAAGACAATAAAAATGTACTATTATGAATTATGATATAATGCAAAACAATTTTTTTGTTTTGCCAAACACAGAGGAACATTGCATACTGAACATATCCACTCCGTTCTAATTTCCTTTTCTTTAGTACTGCATCTTGCACATCTCCTCCTTGTTCCTCTTTTAGGTTGATGAGCAGCTTGCTCAAACCTAATTCTAGAATTTACATGTGGTTTATGTTTTTTAACAGCTACAGTTTGTTCTTTTGAAACGTTATGAATAGATCGTTTTTCGACCAACGTTTTTGAAACCAAATCGTTAGATATTTCACGACGAAAATTGTTCATTGTTATATTCATACCTAAATTGAAAACAAAGTAATTATACAATTATAACAAATAATACCTAAAACAATAATTTACATATAAGCAAAGATATAGTTACCTGATTGTAACTTATATAGGACGTAAGAGTTGACTACTGCTGCATCGATAAAATGAAAAAAAAAGTCTGTGCCACCATTTTTTAGCCTTTCGATCTATCTGACAGGATTTCTTATTCTGGTCAAATTTATCTACACAGTTCATATGTTTGTTGTATTCACTCAATACTATAGGACATGATACCATTGTAGTTGAACCATATTTAGATCGTCTTTGAACTTGTGTGGTTTCCGTTGGATTGTGAAAATTTGACAATAAACTCACTATTCTTTTGTAACGCCACTTAACAATCGATGTAGATTTTTCATCTATAGACCAATCGTATTCACCCAATGTTAAATGCTTATCATTTTTCAAAGCTGGTAAAAATTTTCTTGTAAGATTGACTGTTCCACATGCATTTATATTTTTTGATTTTAGGTATGTCATTAGTGGGTAGCTGGTAAAATAGTTGTCGAAGAATAAGCAATGATTTTTTCCTTGTAAAGGTTGCGATAGTTGTTTTACTACTCGAGCACCCAATTGTTTTTCAGCCTTTTCCCCAACTTTTCCCGTATAAATTTCAAAATTCCATAAATAACCTTGCTTGTCAACCAAACACCAAATTTTAAATCCTCTCTTTATCGGTTTTTTTGGCATATATTGTTTGTTAGCATTTCGATCCGTGAATTTGACCATACTTTCGTCTATTGCATATTATTTTGGAAGGATTATACGCCCTTTGAAAGTTGTTTAGTAAAGTCTGTATAAATGGCCTAATTTTGTATAATTTATCATACCAAGGTTGATTTTTTTTCGGAATAAGCGAATTATCATTCAAATGTACGTGCGATAATAACCAACCGAAGCGATTTACTGGCATTAAACAACTTATGTAAGAATCGTGAAAATCGGGTGATGATGACCAATAGTCCCTATAACTGCATTGCTTCTTGATACCCATTAGAAGTTGCATTCCAATAAAACATTTAATTTCAGACATATTTGTTCGCATAAAAGCTTTTCCTGTTTTCAATTGTTTTTGATATGCATATAAATTAGTATGATGAACTATTTGGTCAAAAATTTCATCAGTAAATAAATATTTAAAAATGGTTGTCGGTGTACGCATTGATAAATCATTTAATAATGTTGTAGGGCCCTCTGGACTTGAAAATGGAAAACATTAAAAATAATGTCATTTTTTTTTGACCATGTAGGAGATATAAATTGAAAATCATCTTGCTGGGTTGATTGAGTTTCAATCTCGGTTTCAACTCCTTCAATATTTACTGGACGTAATGGTGTAGATCCAGAGTTGGACTGATAATCATTATTTAGATCTGAAGAAGTACTAGGTAAAGAATGAAAATCAAAATCCAACGACACATTTTCGTTATTCAAAGATGCATTTTCAGAACCGGAAAATAATTGACGATGTGTTGCTGTCCGAGATCTAACTTCAGTTGTTTTTGATACACATTTTCGACGAATTGAACTACGAGTATACTTTTTTTGCTTTATTGGCGAGGGAAGTAAATAAATATTTCTATCGTCTAAGTTCAAAATTTCTGAATTTTCATCGTCACTAGATTCAAATAGAATGGGTTTCGTTTTCAAGTCACCAGAAGGTGGTATATAATCATTATCATTATCAGAGTCATCACAAGAAGTTATACTATTATCATCGGACGGGATTTCTTCAAATAAGACATCACAAATTTCATTAATATTTAGATGAGAAGTCATTTTTGAAACACTAAAATATAATATAATATATTTTAGAATAATGCAAATTTAAAAAGAAATTGCTTTTTTATAAATAAAGCATTTGGAAAAATGTTATTTACTTACACATATTTCAATAATATGCATCCATGATAAAATATGATAGGTAATTAATTTATTATTAAATGTAACATTAAATTATGAATATAAAATAATTTGTAAACTTATACATATTACGTGTACGGTGTACCTATGTGTTTATAAATTTAAATTTCCAAACACTATAATATAATTTTTATATGGTATATTATAGTATACTTCGCACGGATAATAGGTACTTACGTCTTGACAGTTGCTGCACGGTGGGTTAAAATCTGTACTCCCGACTTTTACGTCATACTAGACGAACCGCTATCGATAAAATGATTTAATTTGCACTGAATGACACTATACAATATAGTTCATCATATGAAATAATATTGTTCATATGTATAAACTATATAGTGAAATATGAGCCAATCAAAATTATAAGAGGCTAGTTATTGTAAAAAAAAATATAAAAACCGAAAACCAGCTAATAATAACACAAAATTCATTAATTTTAGATTTATTCTGGTACTAATATATACATAATAGGCTATTAAAGCTATTTATATCATTTAATGAAGAAAAATAAATACAAGTAATTGGGAAAAAAATATATTACTAGGTGGGTTATTTTTCGTACCACCGTGCTGGAAATGTGATTTTCGAGGTGGGACAAACGGTATCCCACTGTGCCTGAAAGAGTTAAATATGTTGTATCCATGAAGAGCCACAAACTTCTTTATTGCATAGCCATGGATATTCGGTAGCATAACGACTTGCAACATACCCTGTTACATATTCAATGCAGTCTTTTTCTAATTCAGTTAACTCATTAACTGGATTCACCTAAAACAATTAAGTTTAACATTACTGGTTGTTTGGTCAATTGTACATTTGGACACATAGGTAAGTGTTATAAACTATATTAACTAAATTTATTTACATATGATTCAAACTGATGTAGTAAATTTATATTTTCCTCAGGTATATCAAAAGTTTCAGTTGATCCAAAATGTGACTCTATTGTAGCAATTTCTTCATTGAAATACATTTGTCTGCATTCATACATGTTATTATTACTATTAATTTCAGCCTCATTAATAGTAACTGCTGACAAACAATCAACTAAACTTCCTCATCAGAGCATTCGGTATTTCGATTTTCTGTGATTATGGCGTCAGAATATTTTCCCAAGATACATACCATCGTAAACTAATACATTTTTTTATTTTTAGGTTTTATAGTCGACTACTCAATGATAATTAAAATCATACTAACCAATACTTGAACTCTAAAGGGGTTATGCGATATGCTGATGCCATCATACTTTTTAAAGCACTAAATAAATTTTCAAGAAGATCCTGATTTACTCTTCTTGTAAGTATATATTTAATTTCAGGATACCTTTCTTTCAAATCTTCAAACATACGTTTTAACGATGTGTTTGTTATTAATATCCCTATATATTTTTAAAAATTTTCTATTTTACTGATCTTTTTTATATTGTATTTAATTGATCTTTGTATATATGGAGAAATGTATTTAGTAATTACCTTTTTGAAATGGCTTTAAACTTGTGGTTGGTTTACCTTTTAAATAAACTCTCAAACTTTCTATAAATGTATTCATTTCAGATAATATTTTATTTTGATTATCGATGTCAAGTCCATAAGATAATGTAAATTTATCTTTTGGTAGTTGTGTGTTTAACAAATCAAACCAATCGTTAAACAGTTTAATTACTATTGATGCCTATGTATTAATTAGATATATGTTATTAATTATTACTTATAGTAACAGTATAATTATTATTTTAAATAAATATTTCTAAAAAGATAGAAAGAATATTTGTCATATTATATTCTTTTTTTATTTAAAAATTGTCTATTTTAAATGTCTACAAAATATTAGAAATGTGGAATAATATAAGTAATATTAGTAGTTAATTAGTATATATTTACTTCTTTCCAATTAGTGAACTGCAATACATTTTTTTGCCCTAACTAGGATATTGCTTTGGCCATTGAATTTGACAAGACTTGTGTTGCCAGTTTTACATTTTGTCGCTGTGATCCAATTGCATTTAGATGTCGATCAGTGACTTTGTATACACAACTTAAATCCACTTTGTTCAAACTAACTACCTCTTGTATTACTTGTTTCCCAATGTACTTATTATTTGGCAAAACAAATCCACTATCAATGAAATGATTTCTCACTAATTTCATTAAGTGTGGTACATCAGCAAACATATAAATTGGTTTTCCAGATATAGGATGACTAAATGATGTCTTTGTTGGTGTTATTCCGAGACTTTTCCAAAGCCTAATATTTGTAGGCCCCATATCACTAACAACAGCTGCTACCTCAAAACCGGTAAACGGAAAAAAAGTCCGGGGAAAAAAGTCCGAGGAAAAAAAGTCCGGGAAAAAAAGTCCGAATAAACGGAAAAAAAGTCCGAGAAAAAATTATTTAAATATAAATTAGTTATTAAATTAAAATAAAATTAGTTCCTAGAAAAATATTAAACAAAAATATTTTATTAAGCTTATTTTTTTTCAAATAATATGTTTTAATCGCTCTGTATGTCTACTATATGGAGACAGGTTTACACAATGATATTTCAGTTAGAGTCCAGGGGTATTTCCGTATAAAACTAACGAGTAACATTACTACAACTTATCTAGAATATACCTACCTAAGATATAATATTATATCACTAGTATAGTCAACTGTGTGTCCTAGGTCATAGCAGTGTTAACAGTAATAGTGTAGTACATAATTTTATAATAATCATCATAATGGATAGTGTAAAATTAATAAAAAATGGAAAAAAAAATTGTTTGTGGTGGATTTACATATACAATCCAGCATAAACTAAAAAAAAGTATAAGATGGAAATGTTCCCAGAAGTCTTTGAAAAAATGTCCTGGTGTATTAATTACCAACAGAGGTAAATACATGTATATTTATAATATATTTACGTTTTGTCATTAATTTATATATGTAAAAAATATATTTATATATGCAGATTTAAAGAATCCAAGCTTAGATGTAGAACATTCACATGCTGGTGATCTACACATCGGAATCGTCGAAAAAGCAAAAGAAGAAATGAAAAACCGATTTATAATGTCAACAAATACACCTTCTCAAGTTTTTGCGGAAGTAGTCAATAATTTGCCAAAAGAAGCTCTGAAATCCATGCCAAAAGAAAACACCGTAAAAATTTAAAATAATGATAAATAATAAAATATGTTTTTGTTAATTTTTCTTAAACAATGTAATTACATTTATACAATTATTTCAATTTTTTAATATAATAATTTAATATATAAGTATTTTTAAAATTATGATGATAATTAATGCATAATTAATAATTATGTATACTAATTTAATAAATAATATTATTTTTAAATAATTTTTTCTGGGGCTTTTTTTCCGTTTATTCGGACTTTTTTTCCTCGGACTTTTTTTCCTAATATCCTCAAAACCACAGGCATGAAGCTGACTGACTTATAACGTCGAACAATAATAATTGAGTCATGGGAGAATCATAGTCATAGTCAGTGGCGTATTTAGGAATTTGTCATGGGGAGGGTCCAGATAATTTTCAGAACACAGAGCCACGGGGGACGAAGCCCCCCACACCACCCATTTACTCTTTATTAAATAAAATATACCATATTTATAAGACGATATAAAATTGTCGAGTTTTTAATTATTAAATAATAATATGTAAAAAACAAATTTAAAAAAAAAGTCGAGCGTGTAACAAGTACGCGGGGATGAAGTGAAACTTCTTTCAGTCATGCAACTGATATGAGGTATTGGAATAAAATAAAATAAAAAAAATACACTTTACAATTTTATATTTAATAGAACTGTTTTTTTTTATTATTATTTATTTTTAACTAATGATACAATGGTATAAACTGCTAAAATGATGATGATTGGTTCATTTTGTCTTAAACACTCAGCAACACAAAATTCACCGACTGGAGTAATTTTGGAATTATATAACTTTGATTGCCCTAGGATCAATTTTAAAATCAATTTTAATTTTAAGGATTTTATTTTATTTTTGACTTTGAGACCACTAGGTTCTTTCGTAATGCATGTACCAGAAGCTTCGTCAGCAAACTGCTGGGAAGAGTTGAAGGCTACTAAAATAAAACAAACCACTGGCAAGGGTTGAGAACGTAATAGTCTATTGACCAAACTTTAAGTTAAATAAAATGACAATCTTTTTTGTTGTAATAATAATTCACAAATATAATACCGATAACATAGATAACATAGATAATATAGAAACACAGAATTTATATATTATATAAAAAAAAGTCGAGCGTGTAACAAGTACGCGGGGATGAAGTAGTTAGTTAGTTATGAATATAAGTAGTTAATAATATAATAATTATGTAAAATGTAATAGTACTCACACAACGTAGAACGACAAACTGCTGGGAAGAGTTGAAGGCTACTAAAATAAAACAAACCACTGGCAAGGGTTGAGAACGTAATAGTTTATTGACCAAATTTTAAGTTAAATAAAATGACAATCTTTTTTGTTGTAATAATAATTCACAAATATAATACCGATAACATAGATAACATAGATAATATACTATATAGAAACACAGAATTTATATATTATATAAAAAAATCTAATTAATATAATTAGTTGTTATTACATAGGTACTACAAAAATAATAATAAACTACGTTTCTATGTTACCGGTTAACCGATGCACAGCTGGTCCGTGACGGCGGCTCGTGACGGCCGACCGTGACGGCCGACCGTTATGCCGACCGTTGTTTATTTTTTTTGTACCCTCTGTAAAGAAGTTTCACTTCAAAAAGCGGGTGAGTGGATGTCACTCTGCTGCTGTACAGTAGGTTACAAGTGGGTCAATGTATAATGGATTGTATTAAACTTGAACTCAATGATATAATATCATAATATCATTGTATAAGAAAAACGATTCTGAGCGAAGACGGTTTGTCAGTCTGGATATTTTATATTGTTATTATTTATTATAGCCTGTAAGTTGAATTAATAATGAAATACTTTTATTTTTTATTTTTTTCTATGGTGATAGACAAAGTGTTAGAAATTAAAATCCCATTTTTGGTGGTTTTTACAGTGGCATTAAATAACTATTGAGAAAATCGAAAAATGACCTCTCTGAAGTCCTATTTTGATCCAATTTTCTAAAAGATAAGTTACTATATGTTGAAATCGAAGCACTCCTTCTAGAAGAAATTTTGTATACAGGAAAAAAAATAAACACCATTGTAGAACCAATAGATCCCTCAGAATCAAATATATAGTTATAACTTATATGTTATAACTTTTAAATAAATATTTCCTTAATTAGGTACATTAGGTACCTACATCATTCATAGTTGATCTTAGATAGCTTTTCAACCTTAAAAAGTTTGAAAAAGATCTCTCGGGGTGGTTGTAGATACTGGCAATGTACAAAACTACAAAATATTTAAATTAAAAAATGAATTTGGTATTTTTCAACCATTTTCGGTACCCAACTGATAAAAATAATCACGATATTTATTGAAAATGTTGATATAACTATAGCTTCGAAAATTTTTTATACAATCCGTAAAATCGTATGATAAAATTTTTTTTTAATCATGTAAAAACTGCACAACATTTAACATGTACGAGACACAAGTCAATGGGATGGGTCCGGACCCCATGGACCCCCCCCCCCCGTAAATACGCCACTGGTCATAGTATAATGGTTGCTTCCATTTGGAAAATAGTCCTATGAAAGTAACAAATAACGATTATACAGTCATAATTGATATGTTAATACTCAAATTTCAAACCATGATTAAATTATTACTTCTTGTCACTATTCTGAAACAAAAATTATTTGAAATAAAATAATGATTTTTTTTTTAATGTTATAATATGATAAGATATGTTACCTTTCTTTATGTATTAAAAAATATATTCAAAATATTGAATAAATGAGGACTTCTTGTCATTATTCTGAAACAAATATGACTTGGAATACATTAACGTTTTAAAATATTTAAATATTAAATAATATGTTACCTTTCTTAATGTATTAATTAATTATTGATTTATATTTCTTCATCAGATTCATTGTTATTGGTACCTAATGATTCTAGTTGCTCATAAAACCATAAGTATTCTGGAGGGACATACTTTGCTGCTAAGGCTCTAACATCCTGTAGTTTTGCAGCTTTTATTTTAATACTTGACTGGTAAAGTGATGGCAGTTGTTGATGTTCGGCAGTGAAGATGTTTTGCAGATTAGACTTATGAATAATAAACTTTTCCCTTGTATCTTTATTTGCTATGACACTACAAAATAAACCATTTTCATTATATTCCATTATACGGTATGCCATTAATGTAAATTTTGTTTTAGTTGAGCTGATGAAATTTTTTTTGAAAAAAGGCTTAAGATACTCTGAAAAGTTGTACAACATATTATTATCTGGAACCACATCAATAACATGAAACTTGTCTGCACAAGTTTCTTTGACCATATTTTTATAAGTTTCAGGTATAAAAACCATTTCGATTTTTCTTTTCTTTTGCTCTATTAGACCGAAACACCGGTCACATGGGAGGAAGCTATGTCCCTTGTCTGGATATCGCTGAACAACAGTTTTGAATCCAAATGTGTTTGTTTGAACTATAGAATAAATATATTGTATAAGTGCATTATTTTTATTTTGCGAGCTGCAATTATCAGCAAAAAGATAGAGGGTTTTTATATTTTTATCCAATATATTTCTAAAATAATAGTGCAAGAAGCTTATTACCTCGTTATGCCCTTTCTTTGCACTAGATTCGTCATACATAAAGAAGTGCGCAAAAAGAGTTTTTGCTGAATATACACAAAAATTGTAACACCACAGCATCCTTTTGTAAAAGACGTCCCCACATGGGATGTGCGGAAGGGGCATGTTTTGCTGAAAGTCAAATGATAATACTTCAATATCAGTATTTGTCCTAGCATTTTTAGATAACTCTCTAAGGTCGGTATAGAATAACTCAGCCTTCATTAAATGTGCTTCTTTTTCACTGACTAGAGTAGATTTTATTTCTATATCCTCTTCAGATGATATTAAATTTTGCAGTTTATCACATGTCTGGCATGTATCAGACTTAGGCGACCCAAATGACAGCATAAAAATATCAGTCCCTACTATCACTTCATAAAATTCATCTTTGTAATTTAAATTTTTTTTAAAATATTCTGCTTTGGTATCGTTCTTCAGAATATTTATTGCAGCGGTATTAGTTGCATCCTGGTCGCAAACAGTTGCAACAATTTTCAGGC